TGATCCTTAAATCATTCTAAAATCATTCTTTCTATTTTATCTCTAAAATGTTTCCACAAAATATTGAGCTGCAAAAACTGGAAAACTGTTTTTAACATTGATAATAATGAGAACCATTATTAATAACTGATCACCAATAATAAATGAGCAGCAAATCGGCGTATTAGAATGATTTCGGATCATGTGACTGAAGACTGGAGTAATGAAGCTTTGCATCACAGGAATAAATTAAATTTTACAATATATTACAATAGAAAAGTTATTTTCAATTGTAATACTATTTAACAATATTAATGTTTTTACTGTACTTAATTCTCTTAACTATACTTTGTTTTATCAACAGCTGAGACATTACCTTCTAGAAAGGCTTTTGCATGAATTACAACTGGGATTAAGCACAACACCACTAAATTTGGATTACCTGGAGTTTTGTTGTCGTCAGGAGCTGTATCTTCTGCAGGCCCTATCTAATCATGTAGAAGTACCCCCTGCTATCACCCAGGCTTTGCAAGAGCTTTTTGACCTTGTGAAGGGACAACTGGAACTTCCAGGTCCTTCTGTCACAGTAGAAGCTGCTGGCACCACAGGACGACCCAAAATGTTGATTGAAGAACAGCGCTTAAAAGAAATGCTCAACACTCAACTTCCTGTGCCTTGCATAGCTACACTGATGGGTGTTTCGAGAAGCACAATCTTCAGAAATGCCAATATAGTATTGCTGTTGGCATTTCTGAAAATATCTCAATTGGCTACTTTTCAAATGCACTCCCTGACCAAACAAAATGCATGGAGGCTGCACTCTTCTCCACTGAACCCTGCGGCCCTTTGACTCCAGTCTCCCTCTGACCATCCTGTAGCCTGCGTTTGGTAAATCATTCTTGATGGAAGCAACCAAACTGTCAAGTTCATCATCACTGATGGTACTGTACATGCTCCTAACAGAGAGATCATACTCTTTCATTCGTCTGAAGACTGTGCTTCTCGAAACACCCATCAGTGTAGCTAAAAACTTACTTGCTCCGACATGATGACGGTACGTTAACGACACTGGTGTCAGTGATGAAACCAGTCAATCAAATCTGACCAAGTCTGACCAAAGAAGCTTTGTTAAAAAGCTTTGAGTAATGAACAGTTTTTCGGCACAATTTGATGAAAGCCTCAAACAGTTCAGAAAGCCTCAGTTTCCCATCACTAACGTTAATGGCCGACAGTTCAAATATGCTCATTGTGTGCTGTAATACTACAGAAAAAAATAATGATCCCAAAACTTATTATGTTTTGGAAAGTTTGGCTTAAACGTGTGATATAAATAAATAATGGTCAAAAACGGATTTGTATTGTAAATTGACTATAGAGTCTATACTATAGACCAGGGATCCTCAAATCTGG